CTTCTTCTTCTTCTTCTTCTTCTTCTTCTTCTTCTTCTTCTTCTCCTCTTCCTCCTCTTTTTTTTAATAAGGAAAGTGGCCAGTGAGTAGCCTGATAGACTAATTGACCACCTTTCCTTTCCTTTCTTTCTTTCTTTCTTTTTTTTTTTGAGGCAATTAAGGTTAAGTGACTTCTCCAGGTCATACAGCTAGTAAACATCTGAGGCCAGATTTGAATGGACCAGTGCTCTTTCCACTGCACCATCTAGCTGCCCCTTCTGTTTTTTTTCTAAAAGAGCTGTAGCAGAAAAAGTCTAAGGACTTTTAAATGAAAAGTGTCCACTCCTCCTAAAAGGAAGAAATAATACTCCAGGTAAGAACTCTAGCTAAAACCAGAGGCTCAAGCAGAGAGGTCTTCCATAATTATGTACCCATTGGGCCTGGCAGTGATCATGGAAACAAAGGAATAATTTTGATCTGTAGCTGTGAGAGACTCGTTGGAAAGAACACATAACAAAGAATGCATCTGACAGAGTGCACTCTTGGGAAACCAGCAGCAAGTAGTCTCAGAGCTAATAGCTTAGTCATACTACCAAAAATATTTGGTAGTCCTGAAGCATCATAGATGTGAATTGCCCCTCCATGTGTATACCTTGGCTATGCATATGCTCTGTGTGTGACAATCTTCCCATCAATGGCATATTTGTGGGACAGTGTGGCCTAGGTTTATGGGCAGAATGTTTTATCTCTACTTTTCTTACTATGTTATTCCATTAAATGCCTTTGTTTTGAGATACCTGTGTCCTCTTGATTAGAAAATGTAAAACCACCAGAAGGGTTCCTAAGGTGCAATTTTGAGAGCCTAGAGATCCACAGGATAACTTGAATCTAGGGGTAGCCTTTTCTAGGAAACCCTAGAAGAATTGGAGGTTGCCCGAAGTTGTTACAAATGCTATTAAAATACAAGTAGAAAATCTTTTTCTGATCTTATATGGTACTTTGTTTTATGCCTTCTAATGCACTGATTTATACAGGTGTTACAGTTATCTGTGAAGATCTTTTATTAGATATTTAAACTTCATCACAGTTTTCCTGAACCTGAACACAGGGCCTCATAAATGTTTCCTGGATTAAAATGAAAAGAAGATGGCTAGGGTGAATGTTGAGAATCATGGGTTTTTATAGCTGGGAGGAACCTTAGAGATCAATTTCAATGTTTTCATTTTACAGAAAAGGAAACTGAGGCCCTGGAATTCTAAATGAATTATCCAGGTTTCCACTGATAGTGCATTAAATTTCAAACTTATGACTGATTCCATGAAACATTATCACTTAGGATTCAAATTCTGGACCATCAGTGGACATAGGATATGGAGTAAAATACTATTGCAAGAATCTGATTTTCTAACCTTAAAACAGAGGTGCATAGATGTGCTTTTTTTAAAAAAGAAAAGAACTGCGTGAAGTAGCTACTAATTGAGATTTTGAACTGCATTTTACCGTTAGAAAAATGAAATGCAGAAGGGTTAAAAGTGACTTATCTTAAGTCACAAAGAAAATGATTGATAATGCCAGGAATAGAAAGGAAATAAGGACTTGTGACTCCATCCTAATGATAAATTTTTGTATTTTAGGACAAACTTCAGACTTATTGATTCCCAGCACAGCATAAAATATTTTCTCTGTAGGGAAAATATTTTGAGACTATTTATTGAGTATAGAACAAAATTGCTAATGAAATTGCTAATCTAGGCATTTTTCAGCATACGTTGATGGCATCTGGCATCGTATCTTTGGGCCTAAACTTTGGTCTAAAAAGGCAATGGCTTGACCAATGTGAATAACATATTTACAGAAACAGATTGCTTAGAAGTTTACTGAATCTGAGAAATGCTTAGATCCTCCTTTTCTCTGTTGTACTGTAATGGGAAGTCGGAAGTCTTAACATGTTCCAATATTTCGCAGGGCTTTATTCAACTCACCTGCTGTTCCAGGGTTTCTGGATGGATAAAGGTCACCAGGTCAATAGAGAAATAACCAACAATGCCTCTATCTTTACAGGCATTTCCTATTTGAAAACATAACGAGTTGAGAGCCTCTGGATCAATTGACGACTGTGGCATGGTGCTGCCAGAGGAGAGCAAAGGGCCATCTGCATGGAGCTGGTCCCCTGTTGAAAGTATCTTTATTTCTCCTGTTGGCTCTATCAACATATCCACACTCAAGTTGGTGACATTTTCAGTGGGTGGAAATGCCTCAATCACACCACCTGGAGGAAAGAGAACGAGATTTATAAAAGTGGTAAATAGAGGTATACCTCAACCAAAATAATTTTTGTCTTCCTGAAAACAGAATATTGAGTGAGACAATGTTACAGGGGACAGTTAGTTCTATAGGAATGGAGCTGAGCACTGGTTGAGGATGGAGAAGCTACTAGTGTAGAGATATGCTTAGGATGGGAAGGGAGGAGGAGGAGGAGTGGAAGCTGTAATGGTCTGATGTCAAGAACTGGCCAAGTGTGTTTAGAGTGGATTTGGGGATATTAGTTTAGACATTTGGTTATAATACTAAGGATTTTTTTTTGCAATATGTCATTAGCTGTAACAATACTATATGGATATACTTGTACCCATGTTGATTTTCACCTCACATTGATTTGCTCTAGTTTGCCACAGACTTAGAGCTGGATGAGACTTTAGAGATAAATCCAGTCTAGGGGGTCTCAAAATGGGGTCTGTGAACTTGTTTTTTTTTTAAATAATATTATATTTATAATCCTACTTTATTTTACACATTTTAAAACATTATTTTGAGAAGGGGCCCATAGGATTCACCAGACTGCCGAAGAGGTCCACAACCCTCCAAAATGGTTAGGAACCTGTGGTTTAGCCAAATCCCCTTAATTTATAGCTGAGGGATGAAGGCCCAGAGACATGGAGAGATTTGGCTGTGGATCACACAGCCACAGAGTGTTAGAAACCAGAATAAGACCAGGTCTCCCTGCCTCTTAGTCTACTTCTAGTTCCAGAACACCAGTTCATTCCAGTAAACCAAGATCCTTCCTAAGAGCTAATACAAGGGTCCCAACTTATGAAAAGATGACTGCTTATGTTACATGACTTTAAGAGAACTATGTAGGAGTCCTCGTTTAAAATTTTCTCTCCAATGATCTATTATTATGCCTGAAGTTCCACCAATAGAGATTAACTTGCTTTGATTTAGGTATTGTGTTTTTTTCAGTAGCCTCCTATTCAAATTCAAGAGAGCTGGACAAGCTAGTCAGGAAATTTGGGAATTTGGTTGGAAGGAAAAAATGGGAATGGGAATAAAACTCTGGGAATAAAACCCTGGAGAGACACCCAGGAAAGGGAGAAGGGAGAGAGACTGAAAAAGTATTAAATACCTATTCTCTACTTACAGAATCATAGATGGAAGGAGGCCTTACAGGTTATCAGAACCACACCCTCATTTTACAGATGAGGAAACTGAGGCCCAGAAGGGTAAAGTGACTTGCTCAGAGTCATATAAAGAGTAAGTGCCCAAGCTAAGATTTGAATCCATTTGAATCTGACTCCAAATCCAGTACTTTCCACTATGCTATGCTTAGGATTCACTGTCCACAGGTCTAAACTACAGGCTTTAAATGGGAGTTGTTGGGTTAAACCCTAATAATTTAGAGTGGCTTCTTGATTACAGGCAGAGCTCCTTCTGTGGGTGAGCTCAGATTTGTATAGGACAGGGGTTTTTAACCTCATCATGTGTCCTGGTCCCCTTTGGCAGCCTGGAGAAGCCTGTGGACCACTTCTCAGAATAATGTTTTAAATACATAAAATAAAATACATAGTATGACAAAGGAAGCCCATTATACTGAAATACAGTTGTGAAAATGCTAAAAAAAAAACAAACAAACCAGAAAAACCAAACAAACTCACAGACCTGGATAGAGGATATGCTGCTTTAAGAGGAGTCCACTGGAATGATCCACAATTTAAATGTTAGATAAAGATGTTTTTATAGAGTACAAACAACCTCCATAATAGATTCTGATGTCACCTTTGTGTGTCAGCTCTTCAGGTGACTTCCTTTGCAAAATATTTAATTTCAACTCAACATACTTTACTTCTCTCATCCTTGTCACCACCAGAGTTTTCTCATTGAAACCAAGGCTTTTTTCCTTCCAAAGCAAATCCATTCCTGTTTTATTTTCAATTGCCTGCCCTAGCACAATCCCATGACATTTAGAAATTGAATAGAGCCTCCACATTCTTCAAAGGAAAGAAATAGGAATGGATCAGGGACTGCTGGAGTATTAGCATTATTTTCTTTCCTAGAGAAGCCTTATTAGTTTGACCTGAGAAGAACTCACAATCTCCCTTCACCACTTCCTGGCAGTGAGGGAAACCCCTTATGGTTATTGTTTTTGATGACCCAGCTTCTGCCCTGCATCTAGCCCTGACCCTTGTTTCCCACCATTAATAAAATATTAAAGTCATATGTTCCTGATGTCACCAAATGGAGAGTCTCCCAAAGTTAGGGACGGATTGCTGTTTTCTTTGGTGGAGGGAATATCTCCATTACTGAAATAATGAATTCTTGACATATTGAAATATGTAATCTTGATCTACATTATAGATATAAATGTGAGTCTATATTTCAAATGTATGGAGAGACAATGTATATATACATATAGATCTATAATTACAGCTATACATTATGATATATGTGTATGTGTGTGTGTGCACATAAATATACGCACACATAGAGAGAAAGAGCTTATTGTTTCTCCATATGTGGTTTTAGTGCTTTGAGTTGGCTGCCTTATACTAGAGAATCAGTGTATTTTGGAGTTGGAAGGGCTTTTAGAAGTCATCTAGTCTAACTTCTCACTCAATTAATCCATTCTGTTGTTCTCCTGAGTGACGGCCAACTAGCTTCTTTTAAAAGAGCTCCATTGATGGAGAACACATCATTCTAGAATACAACCTATTCTCAGTCCTCTTTATTTGTTAGATGGTATTACTTTATATTGAGTCAAAATCTGTCTCTTGGTGACTTCCAAGATACCCTCAGCTAAATGTGACTCTTACCTCCTGAAATCTCTCACGCTAATCCATCTGAACCCTTTCCAAACTTATATTACAGTTACCTGTGTACATGTCTTATCTTCCCCCCACTAGACTGTAAGACTTTTAAGGGTGGGGACTATCATTTTTATTTATCTTTGCTCACCCAGAAGCACTTAGCACAATGCCTTGCATAGTAAATGCTGGACAGATATTTGTTGTGTTGAGTTCCACCCATCAATTCTCGTCCAGCATTCTAGAACAATGTAGAACGAATCTGTTCTCAGTTACAAGCAATAGCCCTTCGAACACTGGAAGTTACTCCGTGGGTCTTCTCTTCATCTTCTCTGGGCTAAACATAACTAGTTCCTTCATTTGTAGCTCATTGGATATAGCTTTCAGACTCCTCACCATGGTTTTCTATTCTCCGGTTACTTACATTGCCTACTCAGTCAATGGCCTTCTTAAAATGTAGCTCTCACATGATTCTTCAGATGTGAGAAAGTGAGCACAAGATATTGTGCAATGATTACTTCCCATAATCTGGACACTAGATTTCTATTACTGTACATATACTTGTCAGTGGTTCTGCCTTCCATTGGAACTTAGGGGGATTACTAGAGAATGTGACTCATGACATTACATTTCTCTTGTATGTAATTTTGCATGTTACATGCCCAAATACTACCTCTTCCATGAAACTTACCCCACTACTCATGCCAGCCCTCTCAAAATTACTTTGTATTTAGTTTTTATGTGTACTTTTAGGCGTAAATGTTGCTTCCCCTTATAGAATGGAATCTCTCTGAAGGCAGGAATTATTTAATTTGTGTCTGTATATTTAGCTCTTAGCATGGTGCCTGGCACTATGAGCACTTAATAAATGCTTGCTGATTGATAGATGAACTCTTTTCTGTACTATACCTTCTACAATATCATTTAAGCTTTTTAAAAGTTAAAGGCTTAGTAAATTCAGCTAACTATTAGGTCTTAGTTTCAATTATCAATAGATTTGAGATCATATTTTGTTTCCAGAGGAGTTAAAAGGGTTTTTGATGAGGAAGAGCATTCATTCATTCATTCATTCATTCATTCATTCATTCATTCACATGACCCATCCTGAGCACCTATCCTCTCTCTTCTTACCTCTACCTCTTAATCTTCCCTGGCTGAAAGAGGCCTCTCCTGCTTTCCCTGTCAATTGCCTCCTACTCCCAATGTCTCCTTTGAGACTACTTTCCACTCACACTGTATAAATATCTTGTATGTAATTTTTTTTTGCATGTTTTTTTCCCCATTAGAATGTGAGGTCCTTGAGGCCAGGGACTGTGTATTAGCCTTTCTTTGTGTATCCTCTATACTTAGCACAGTGCCTGACACATAATAAGCAATTAATAAATGCTTCCTAACTGACTGACTAAGGCACTGTATTAGGTGCAGTGGGGAATCTATCGACAAATAAACACATGATTCCTTTCCCTTCAGGTTGTTGTAGCCTAGTTGGGGAATTAAAGAGGATGAGGTTGATTATATGCTTTCTAGATTTCCTAGGCCAGGGAAAAGGACCCTCATCTGAAAACAGTCTATCCTGAGTTCAATGCTGAAGACTAGAAGTAAGATTATATTCCTCCTGGAAGAGAAGAAACTTCTAAAGCAAGGAAGGACCAGATTGTATAGGGCTTTGGAGATGAAAATCTAGACCTGGAGTTGTCCTAACTTCGTATTTTCAGAGTCAATTCTTATTTGCTTAAGATGCTGAGAGCAGGATAAATATTTATGGGAGTTTCAAAAACATCAGAGGGCCAGTTTCAAATGAACACCTTTCAAAGACACAGCCAAGCAAGTCAAACCTTGCCCCAGTCCCGGATGGCCCCAAAACCCAGAATGCAAGGGAGTACAGCTACTTGCACTTAGGAGAAACTTTGTAGTCTTATTTACCTTGACTGAGAAATGTATGGAGGAATTTTTCCCATGTAGGGAATCGTTTCTCATTGACTGCCTGTGCGTGCTGTGCTAAAATGCCCGCCAGCTCCTCAGAGATCCTCTCCAAAGCTGGCTCCTGCAGAAACAAATTAAATAGAACCACAAGCAATTTTACTACAGAAATGAAAACTGCTTGTGGAGTGATTAAAAACCAGGCCTCCAACAGGCAAAAAAAATGTGCTTACTGTTTACCCAGAGTCAGAAAAAAGACATTTTGAAATTTTCCTCCCTTTTCCAGATTCTTTTGGTTTGTGTATTTCCAAGGTATTCTGTTCTCTTGAAATCTCAATGATGGTGGTTTGGCTCTTATATGTTGTATAATGAAGAGTACATTTACAGTAGAGGGAACTGGAAAGCATATTGAACTGGGAATCAGGAGACTCGGGTTCTAGTCTCAGTTATGCCACTAACAGGCTGCGTGGCCTTGGGCAAGTAGTCTCTCAGAGCCTCAGTTTCCTCATGCGTCAAATGGAAGGACAGGGTAAAATAACCTCTAAGGCAGGAGTTTTTAACCTGGGGTCTTAGAACTTGGTTAAAAAAAGTTCTGATAATGTATTTTAAGAGAATCAATTTCCTTTGTAATTCTATGTATCTTATGTTTTGCATTTAAAAACATTCTGAGAAGAGGTCTATAGGTTCCATTGGACTGACAAAGGGGCCCATGATACAAAGTTAAGAACTCTAGGTCTAAGGTCTAAAATTCTAAATTCTAAAATCAACTCTAAAATTCTGTGATTTTTAGTAGGGCTGGCCTTTGATAAAACCGATCATTTAGCCAAGCTTTTCTTTGGTGTCGCCAGCCCACTCCACCCTATGCCCTTTCCCTCTCCAGTGGTGCCACTTCACCAAACCCCTTCAGATAGCCAGGATCTGGGCCAGGTGTTTTGCATTTTAGAGGATCAGAGAGCCAGAGATGCAAGGGACAGTCAGAGGTCATCTAATCCAGCCCTCTTATTTTACAAATGAAAGAAACTGAGACCTAGGGAGGCTAAATTACTTGCTCAAGGTTACACAGGTACTACGCATCAGAGGCAGACACAGTGCACAGAGCACTCGGCCTGGAGCCAGGAAGATCATCTTCCGTGAGTTCAAATCCAGCCTCAGACACTTCCTAACTGTGTGACCTTGGGCAAGTCACTTCACCCTGTTTGCCTCCATTTCCTCATCTACAAAATGAGCTGGAGAAGGAAATGATAAATAATTCCAGTATATTTGCCAAGAAAACCCCGAATGGGGTCACAAAGAGGTGGACACAACTGAAATCACTCAACAACAACACCAACACCAACAATAACTCTGACTCCAAGGCAATGCTCTTTCAACTGCGACATACTAGAAATTGTGAAGGTGAAACTTTAAGCACTAGCTAATGAGTAGAAATGTTTTTAGGGTTAGGAAGCTGGGTACTGGGGCTCTCCACTCATCCTTGAAATACTACTATACATGTATTAAGGTGGAGGCAGTTAGGTAACTCAGTGGATAGAGCACAGGGGCTAGAGCAGGGAAGACCTAAGTTCAAATCTGGCCTTAGACATTCATTAGCTGTGTGACCTTGGGCAATTCATTTAACCTCTGTTTGCCTTAATACACTGGAGAAGGAAATGGCAAATCACTCTAGTATCTTTGCCAAGAAAACCCCATACAGGGTCACAAAAAGTTAGATGTGACTGAACATCAACAGTGTATTCAGGTAATTCACTTATTTTTCTTCTAGGTTAGAATGGTCATGAGAATTAGTCAAACAATTCAGAGACCCCTGAGTTTTTTACCACTTAATTAGGTTTTTTATCATCATTAAAGTCAATTTATACCCATACCCTCTATCTATGTACATTCCTTCTAAATATCATAATAAAGACACAATTCTCAAGAGTTACCAGTATCATCTTCACATGAAGGGATGTAAACAGTTTGCCCTTATTGAATAACATGTGTTTTTTTTTTCTTTCCTGTTTACTTTTTTATGCCTCTCTTGAGTCTTATATTTGAAGATCAAATTTTCTGTTGAGCTCTGGTTTTTTCAACAGGAAGGTCTGGAAGTCCCTTGTGGTGGATGGTGGATACCCATCCGCCAGTGCAAGTGGTGGTTCTCCACGCTGGCGTCTGCTGGTTCCCCTGGCTGTGCCAAGGCACTCAGGGGTTCCTGGTGTTGGCACTTGCTTACTCCACTACCCTGAGGCTCAGGATCTCCCGTTGGTCCTCTGAGGTGGGGCTGCTGGCTTGCTGGGACCCCTCCAGTCCTGTACTGGTCTCCTTCAGCCACGGCAAGAGGGATGCTTCCCATCACTCCCCCTAGCCTCAATAGCCCAAAGACTGCTGCACCCCTTCTCTGCTGACTCCACTGTTCCAGGATTCCTCCTGGGGCAGTATTTTCTGGGTTCTTCAAGGTCAAAAAGGGAGGGTGAGAGTGACCCACTGCTTACTCTGTCATCTAAGCTCCTGAAAGTCCTGAGTTTTTGTCTTTTGATTCCCTAAACCCTCTTCTCTCCACCCTCTCCCCAAATGAACCACAGGAGGAACTCTTTCCTAAAACTGAAGCACTCTGATTTTCAAATGTGAAAGACTTTTGTTTTTTGGGAAACTTATTTTTGCTCTCTTAAGCTCCAGATCTTTTTTCCCTCAGACTGCCCAAAAAGTTTTAAAGTGAAGTCTCATTTAGACTTTGTTTCCATCATAAGTTAGGCAAAACTTTGGCTACCTTAGATACAAATATACTTGACTGATGCTTTTCATATCATATCAGATACATAGATTCAAATGAAGAAAACTTAGAATTCTTTTAGGTAGCATGGACAAGCAAATGGGTTGGGATTGGGATACAATGGTGAGCACCCTGCTGAGTGATTATAAAATTGAAAGAGTGCTAGCTATGGAATTAGAGGCCCTGAGTTCAAACCCTGGCTCAGCTACTTACCACCTGTATGAGTTAGGTAGAGCAAATTACTTAACCTCCCTGGGACTCACCTATAAATTGAGGGGGTTGGGCTACATGTCCTCTGAGGTAACTTCCAGCTCTAAGTCTAAGATCCTATGATGCTAAGTCATTGTCCTCATTGCACCTAAATTTCTTCACCTATAAAATGGGGGATTTGGACTAGATAGTCTCTAAGTTATGTATGATCTTTAGAATCACAGAATTTTTTTAGAGCACAAAAGGACTCTAGAAATCATCCAAATGTAAATTCGTTTTCAATTTCCTGATACCAAAAGTTGTCTGTTTCCCACCCCCACCCCCTAATCTATTTAGAATATTGAAGACTCAATTATAGAGGGTTGTATCAGTGGAGGGAATACCCATTTGGACAAAATGATAAATCCTTGAAAGACTAATGTAATGCAACATCTTGATTATTCAGTTTATCTTGGATCTGATGCCGTCTAAAAAATCTGAATACTACAGAGGAAACATCTGGGTAAATAGTTTAGGCAGGTCAGAAAATAACCTGGATATTTTCTGGACTGTCCTAAGGATTCTGGTAGTATAGTTTCAGTCAGTTTAGCACCTTAGTTAGCTTAGCAAATGCTTGACACACAAAACAAAACGGCCATGAGAAGCTGCCAGAGTGCCGTGGTCTATGCTCAGTTCAGGTTGACTCACTTCACAGTAGGGGGAGGTCTGTTAAGAAGGGCTGGGAAAGCAGGCTCATGTGGTGAGCCAGTGCCTGGCGATACCAGAGAAAGAAAAACTGCTCTCAAAGCAATAGGCCTTCCTCCTCCCCACCCCACCCTACTCCCTATCACCCTGCATGATGTCATAGTTCACCCAGTTTTCTTTTTTTTTTTTAACATAAATCACCAGATTTCCCCAAACTACTGCATCACTCATAGTTGAGCATAGAAAACACACAGAGCTGTCTCATTGGCCCTTTCTCCTCTCCTTCAAACCTTTCTATCTACACCTATCTCCCTTTTTGTTCTATACCTGCTTCAGATTGAATGGCTCTCTTACTGAAGAGGACCAAGTGCCCCTGATCCATGAAGTGCCCCAAGGCTGGAACGATGAAGCATTGCGTTTCTTTAGCCACCTGCTCAGGAAAATTAAAAGTCAGAGCAAGGGGGACTTGCGGGTCGTGTAACTGCCTAGAAAAACTAGGTTTTCTTCATTGCTTACCCACTAATTCCTGGTCTGATTTGGGAAAGGTCACACGGTAAGTAAGCTTCTTCTGACTCAGTTTTTGTAGATATCAAATCAACCCCTTGGTAGAATATCATAAGGCCTGTTCCAGATCAAGGTAGTACAAGCATAGGTTAGAACTTAGGGCTAACTTTAAGATGGTGACATTTCATGGGGTTAAAGGTAATGTCTTAAGTTTCGGTTTAAAAAAATCAATTTCACTGGCACTCAATGAAGAAAACGATCTTTGTGTCCACAGTGCGATAGACAACCAAAAAAAGCAAATGTGATTTTAAGTTGCATTAGGAGAGACCTGGTTTTCAGAGACAGACAATTGGTAGTCTCATTGTAGTATGTCCTACTCAGACCATAACTGGATTATTAGATTCAGTCTGAGGCACCACATTTTAGGAAATACACTGATGAGCTAGAGCAGAGGAGTCAAACATGTGACCTGAATGTGGCTAAACCAGATTAAAATGTAATTGGGAAATGCTTAACAAAATAAATAAAAATATAATAAGACAGATAATACTAATATGTGGCTTTCTAAGTCAACATGTAGCCGGATCCTTATATATAGTTTAGAGTCTCCTGTTTTAATTTGAGTTTGATACCACTGAGCTAGAGAACCTTCACTGGAGAGCAACCAGGATGGTTAGGGGATTCAAATTGACAAGGATGGGTTGAAGGATATGGCAGTCTTCAGTGTTCAGTGTGGAGAAGATAAGACTTAGGAGGAACATGATAATTGTCTTTAAGTATCCGAAGGACTGTGTTGCAGAACAGGCAAAGCCAAGGCAAGGCAATGAACATTTATTAAGCTCTTACTATGTGCCAGGCAGCTAGGTAACACAGTGGATAGAGGGCTGAATTTGAAGTCAGGACGACTCAGCTTGCTGAGTTCAAATCTGGCCTCAGACACTTACTAGCTGTGAGAACCTGAGCATTTCACTTATCCC